GGAGTCAACACTTAGTTACTATTTACTCAACACTGATGCAAAGAGACATATGGAATGGAATGGAATGGAATGGAATGGAATGGAATGGAATGGAATAGGAAGGAAGGAAAGAAGGAAAGAAGGAAAGAAGGAAAGGAAGAATCAGAATACAACTTGTCCAGGCAGACACCAGGAGTCAAGTCTGACTGGAAGGCCCCCCCCCCCAAAAAAAAATTGTATTCTGCTAAGTAATACAGCTTTAAGATCTGTCTCTGGAGCTTTCCCTCTCTACTACTAAAAAATTTCTCAGTCTATATAAAGGAACATCTCAGATAATCACCTTTTTCAGAATGGTATTCTTGGCTTCCCTGAAATCAAGCCTCAACCATCATAACACACCCTACTTCCCAAATCTGAAACAATTTGTGACATGCCTTTCCCCATTTTTTGTCTTGGATATTGGAGGCTGGTGTGGGCTACAGTGTTAGTGCTGGTAAGAATCAGAAAGTATCTCCTTAATTTTTAGGGAGATGAATGAAAATGTCCAGCTTGCAGCTCTTTCACGTAACCATTTCTTGTACTATATTAAACATTCATGTGCTGTAAAAATAGCTCATCAACCCAAGGTCAGCCCTGAATTCCTTTCCAAAAGATGACATTACCCTGTCTTGCCTTTCAGACACAATGATCTGCCCCTGAAACTAAGATGGTTATACCAGAACAAGCTAAGCACAATCGATTTGAAGACACTCAGCGCTACAAACACAAACATTGAGAAGCTCCAGGCTGGCCATGTTGGGGTGCAGGTAAGTACCATCTGAGTTCCAAGCTTACCAAGGGGCCAAGAGGTAGGTACATGCCAGAATGGAGTTTGGTCAGCAGTGGTGATAGCAGTGGTGAAAAACCTTGGTGCTTCACATGTCACAAAGAAGTGAAGTGCTTGATTAAACTGATGTAGCAGTTGCCATCTTCATCTTTCCAAACTAACTTTCTGAAACCATACTGAGTCAGAAGGAGGCCATCAAGCTGAAGAAGGTTTTCCTAGGGGTCAAAGAACCGGGCAGGCAAAGTGGACATCCAGGTATTCAGTGACGTATAAATCAAGCAGAATTTTAAGTATCTAAATCTATGCTCAGGAGAGACATATATTTGAAATTCAATTTTTAAGCATATTTTCTAAATTTTTCCAGTTTTGGTCAGTGTACGTTCTCTGCGGTGCACAGGACAAAGATGCTGTCCGTTTGACACTAGAACAAATTGATGTTGTCAAACGGATGTGTGGAGACTATGAAGAATTGGAACTGGTGACATCATCTGCAGGTAAATTTTGTTTCATTTCCTCAATAAAAGAAATATTAGACAAAAGTATAAGAGGTAAGGAGCATGCATTCTTTTCCTGTGCATGAAAAACAACATATTTGACATAACAGCAAGGGGATGCATTTATCTGTAAGCTTAGGAATACTTAGCAAACTCATTCTTCTACAATTCCTTGGGTTAATCATTAAAATGGGTTTATTTACAGTAAAAAGAAAAGTATCTGCAGGCTCAGAGGAATATCAAAAGACAACTTTAGAACAAGGACAGGGAATATTTTTCCAAAAACCTCCCAGTGCGTTCACAGGTGAAACAGGTGCAGCCAGAAATTATAGCCCACAATTTTCATTTAGGGGGAAGATCAAATTGAAGGGCATTAAGCCTTGCAAAGGGCTGCAGAACAAGGCTGGGGATACACATAAGGGTCTTGCACCATGAGTTGCTTGCCCCTGCTTTAGGAGAAAAACTGTGGGGATGGAAATCATAATATCCCTTGGTTATTGTGACCATGGAGAATACTGGATGGATTTATTCATTTAGTGTGGAATGCAGACTTTTGAGAAGGGTAAACAGAAGGAGAGATGAAGCAACGTACAGGCAGTCCTCGACTTACGACAGCAATTGGGACTGGAATTTCTGTCGCTGGGTGATGGGTTGTAAAGCACAACCACATCGCTTAGCAACAGCAATCCCTGCAGTCCCAGTTGCTGTCATTAACTGAATCCCATGGTTATTAGGCAAGGCAGCTTCCTGCCAGCTTCCCACAACCAAGTCAGTGGGGAAGTCAGCAGGAAGTTATAAGTCTCAGACGGCTTGCAAGCAGGCTGGCTGGCAGGTAAGTGGCTGCTGTTGGGTGGGGGAGGGCATGAGGGGGTGCACGAGGGTGCGCCAGAGACATAGGGTTGGAGAGGGTGTGCAAGGGTGTGAGGAAGGCTCAGGGAGGGTGTGCGAAGGTGCAAGGGAGGCACAGCGAGGCTTGGGGAGAGTGTGCAGGGCTGTGCAAATGGGTGGCATGGCACAAGCACAGAGGAGCAGGTGGGGAAGACTTACCCCAGTGACTTGTGACCTTCCCTGTTGGCTTCCCCATTTACTTTCTGGGGAAGTTGGCAGGGAAGGTCACAAATGGTGGTCACATGATTGCGGGGTGCTGCAACTAGTTGTAAGTGCAAGCACCCAGATTATGATCATGTGATTGCGGGGGTTTTGATACAGCCAGAACTCAGAGGACCAGTTGTAACCATCATTCGTTCAGTACCGTCATAACTTTGAACAGTTGTTGAACAAATGGTCATAAGTCAAAGACTATCTGTATCCTGGGAAAGGGCACAGCTAGCTGCAGTTCTCAGCAAAAACACTCAAGACGGCAACGTTTTGATCAAGGTCCCGCTTGTATAGATAAAGGTTGAGATCTATTTCTGAAATCTCACCCTATTGGGATTTGTGATCAGATTCTACCTCCTGTTTGTCCATGATACAACTATGTGGTCTTCACCAATAGCATGGAATAGCGATCATACAGGATATTTGTAGCTGGGCTGGGGATACTAGATGGAGGACAGGAGTGCTGAGTGGGTAGGGAGAGCAAATCTATTCATGCTCCTTATCCATGTGATGTGTTGGAATTCTAGGGGTGATGGTGATAAATATCTTCTTATGCAGCCTTATGTTCAAATCAACACATCTGGCAATACCCATACTGAAATTGTTGTGCTAGTTTTTATAGAACAGTCCCTAAACTATAGGTTTACTCTGATGATCTGCCTTTTTAACCAGAGTGCTATCTTTCTGTTTAAAATTCAGGCATTGAGAATCTTGGCAATGGTAAGATAGCATGCTTGATTGGCATTGAAGGTGGGCATTCCATTGACAGCAGTCTGGCAACCCTGAGGATGTTCTATGATCTGGGTGTTCGGTACATGACTTTGACGCATACTTGCAACACTCCCTGGTAATCAACAAACGTTCTTTCTGAGATGGATTGTTTTGATAGTAGCCACTGTTGCTTTAAATAATACGGTGTTTACGTATTTCAAGAAAATGAATGTGATAGTGCAGTTAGGGATAACTGTACCAGGGAAGATTAGGGAATGTAGCTATTGAACAGGTGAAGAATTCAGCTTCTTAGTGGTGTTGTTCATACAACATGCTTGACCTGGTTCTTGATTTAAACCCCTTTTCTGGACTTGCAAGATACACTGAACCATAAAGTAACCCAATAGGTTCACAGTACAACAAAGCACACAGGCGGGCAGCCAGCTGGCCAACCAAGCTTGTAATGCCAGCGTAGGCCTAGGTCTTTGATTGATCTGGCTGAGCATTGGAAGAGTTTTGTCTTCTTCCCTTTCCACTATGCAAGATGAAAAGTAGAAATGGTGAATACGGCATGCCAACTGCAGTGGCCGCATAAAATTCAGTCTTTAGTAGATCTCAAGTCTTCTGGAAACTTCCTGTGTTGTTTCTTAGCATTTGTAATTTTTAAGACTTTGGCAGCTTTAGGAGATCTATTAGAGAAAACGAGGTCCAGTTTCCTGCTTAGTCAAGAAATTCACAGTTCCTCTTTGTATCATGTGCTTAATGGTTCGAAAAGCATTAAGGTTAGCAAGTCATGTCACTATTATAACCTGATTATCACTGGGGCAGAGGTGTGGGTGTTAGTCTGAATCAGCTAGTAGCATACTTGCTGTCTCCCTACCCCCACCCCGCTCCAGCTCTACAAGGTTTTCAATGAGCCTTCAGGACACGTAGTATCTATATGAGCTGAATTCACAGATGACCACAGAAAGGGCCACAGTTCTTCCCGCTGTTGGCACGATGTCCTATCAGAATGTCTCCATTTTACTTTTCTTCCCCCCTTGACCTACCAGGGATGGGGGAGAATGAGGGTGAAAGGGGTCAGAAACACTTTTTGACCATGGTATTTCATGTTGTATGCTATCAGTTATGGCCCTGTTTCCTCAGGGATAATGGGTGACTGTGTAAACCATGTAACACAACTAGTAATTTAATCCAATCCTATTTCTTCATCAGATAACATAAACCAGATCCAAAGATTTTGGATTTCTGGCTTTCCGTGATGTGGTGGATCCAATTTAAACAGTGGTCTCAAGAGCAAATAGTCTAAAAGACAAGAGACCGACATTCTTTCATTGTGCTTAAACCAACCATGACTTGAACTTGCTCTTTTTCTCATTTTTTTAAAAAAAATTTACTTTCTTATTCCGTAACTCTTTAAACCTTTCTGGGATCCTCTTTGGCTGAAGAACAGGGTATAACATTTTAGATAAGTTAAATGGAAGCTGTCTGGAGTTCTTTGGAGGAAAGATGACATAAATAAAAATATGATTAATATATTGTGACTGTTATACATGTATATTTTAAGAATACTCTTCCTGTTTAAATTTTGCAGTGTTTCCATGAGAGTTTTACAACATCCTTCATTTGAATAATATTCTGCAAATATGACAATCTCATATATTCTGCATCTTTGGTTTGTTTTCAGGGCAGAAACTTCGACAAAACACATACATAGTTTCTATCCTGATGTTAAAGGCTTGAGTCCTTTTGGCAAAGTAAGAGAAAGTTCTAAGTAAAACTTGGCAAGTGACTTGAGTTGATATTATCCTCTGAGATTCTCTTAAATAAGGGAGATCTGGGAATTAAACTACAAGGGTCTGTTCTTCTGTCTTGATGAGAATCCACCATAATCAGTGTTTAATTATGATGATGGTTACGTGCCATCAAGTTGTTGACTCTTAGAGACTACATAGATTTTCTTGATGATCTGTCCCTAACCTGGTCATTCAGCTCTTCCAACAATGCATCTATTGCCCTTGTAATTGAGCCCATCCACCTTGCTGCTGGTCGTCCTCTTCTTCTCTTTCCTTCCACCTTTCTCAGCATCAGAGCCTTCTCTAGAGAGCTAGGTTTTTGCATAATGCATCCAAAGTAGGATAATTTGAGCCTGGTCATTTGTGCCTCTAGTGAGAACTTTGGGGTGATTTGTTTGCTGATCCAGTGGTTTGTTTTCTTGGCTGTCCATGGTATTCTTGGGAGTCTTCTCCAACAAAGAGCTTAAAAAGTCATATACACATGCAGATACATTGAGCAAAACTCATTTTAAACCAATGTTTCTCAATCTGCTGGCTTCCAGAGATCTAGGATTGGGACTTCTATTAGCTCCATCCAGCACAATCTTTTGTGGTGGGAATTTTAGTCTGAAATGTCTGGAGAACTGAAGGTTGGGAAACATTGCTGTAAGCAGACAAAAAAAAGTTGTGCATTATTCTGGCTGCCATAAGCAACTATCTAAATGCTGGCTTACTGAATAAGCAAGAGTGGTTGAGTACATATAAAATGCTAAACCATAAGCTGTAGCTTATCAACCACAATGGCTGGATTCACATATCCATCATGTTGTCCCTTAGCATGATGCTTTAAGCCTGCCTCTATCTTTTGGTGCTTCAAAGAGTTAGGGGTGGAGGCCAGCCTTCTTTGATTGGCTGTTCTCCAAACAGAACTACAACTCCCAGAATTCACAGCATTTGTCTGGGAATTTCAGAGACTATAGCTTCAAGACATCTGGAAGATATCCTATTAAGGAAGACTGGGATAAGTGATCAAAGAACAGATCCCTGGCGGGGATGATAGGAAGGCAGGTGACAATTATCCAGAAATCTATTCAGACAGATCTTTCTATCCATGCAGAGTCCTTACCACCATCTGCCCAGTAGGAAACACCCTAGATATTTTTTCTTGATTTGTGTTTAAGAATGTATGTTACACTTTTTAAGAATTGGTCCTATTGATTGAAAGTCTCTTTGGAGGGATTGTGAGCTTGAAAGGCAGGATAAAAATAATTTTAATTGAGAAATAAACAAACTCTTGCAGTATGGGTTTCATAGTTACCTAGAATTAATAGCAAAGTACTTATTCCATTTATACCTAGGAAACATTTTTTACTCTTCTCTTTAGCCAAACAAGATCAAAAACACCTCATAAATATGAGACCGTTCCTGTCATCAGGCTTACAATCTATTTCATTGTTGTTTAAGGAAGAATTAAGCCCAATCTTCCATAAGCTTGAGTTAAAGCTAAATCCATTCCCCATCAGGGAACCTTGCCTTCCTTCCCTCTGCCATCTTTCTTCTCCCACTCCTGGTTGTCAACAATTCTTCCTCCAATTTCTCCCACATCCCTTAGCAATCTTTACCCTAAGTCAGTTTTCCCCAACCTTCTACCCTTTAGATGTATTTGATTCTTTCAGCTATTCCTGCAGAAGAAGATCTGCACATTTGCAGATATACCTTGACCATCTTGTCCCCCAAAGTTAAATGAAGATTGGACACACTAAATAGTCTTAGAATTTCTTTCCAACAGAGAGCAAGATTCAAGCAGCTAGATTCTATGGTCAAATACAGATGATTCCATCAAGTGCCATATTTTGAGAGAACATGTGCTTGTGGAGCATCAGAAACAGAAGACATTGCACATGTCCTACTCAACTATCAATTATATGCTTCAGCAAGGGCTCAGTACTTACAGACACTACTTAATAGAACCATATATTGGGACTCTAACAAAAGGTTGTCTTATTTCTTTCAGGGCACAAACATATATGTAGTCACTAGAACTGCTAAGTTTATAGTCAGGGCTGTCCAACAGAGAACATGTTTTATAGAACACATGGGGGTTGCATGCAAAGGTGATGAATTCAGCTAAACATATACTGTTTTTGAATTTTAATATTTACCTTATTATATATCTCTGAATTCTATTTTATCTTATACTCTTTTATCTTTAGTTTATCTTACCTTACTATATTTTATTCTATTTTATCTCACCATAGCCTATTTTATCTCATTGTATCTCACCTTACCTCATTTTACTGTATCTTATTGTGATGTCAGTGTAGCACAAGCCACAATATCTACCATATTTTTCTTAGGAAGTGGTGAAGGAGATGAATCGCCTCGGTATGATGGTAGACTTATCTCACACTTCTGATGAGACAGCAAAAGCAGCTCTTGGGGTCTCCAAAGCACCCGTCATTTTCAGCCATTCTTCTGCCTTCTCCGTCTGTAACCATTCCAGGAACGTTCCAGATGATATTCTCCTACAGCTAGTGAGTCTTGTTTTTCAGATCATCATGCACTAAAGGAAGGTCTTCTTCAACCTGAGATCCATTCAATGTACTGAACTTCCATTATTGCCAGTCAGCATGGACTTAATTTGCATATTCCCAAACAAAACACTTGCAACCACCTGGTCGTCTTATTTTCAGATAATGCCTAAGATTGACATAAGACCAAAGTCATTCTTGGAAAGAAAGGTGATGGTAGAGAGAAGTGGTTTGCTTTGCAGCATGCTTGCTTCTCTAATCAGGTGGGACAGGGAACTTGATAGGCACCAAGAGAGGCTTCCGTAGCACATGTTGCCTAACTCTGGTTTAATGTTTTGCTGTGGATCCTGTTCCAGGTATCTTCCTTTATCTTGATCCTTTTATTTTCCCCTACCCAATTTTCCTGAGAAATGGCACAGCTATTTGAAAGAGTTCCAGACAGTTGCTATATTTGCACCCCCACGTGCTTCAAAGCAACTTTTTGGAATAAAATCTGAAGCACTGCACAGCCCCCGGAACTGGTGATCTGACTTACTTAATTTTTCTTCTGTTTTAGAAAGAGAATCGTGGAATTATAATGGTGACACTCCCTGTGAAGTTTCTGGCTTGTGGGAATGAGGCCATTAACATTTCAACTGTTGCAGGTTTGCGGATATTATGCTGTTCCTGTATATATTTCACTCTAGGAGTACTAACAGGATCACTTTTTTTCCCACAGGCTTTGAACTCTTAGTACCAGCCCAATAAATTCTCTGTTGAATCCAATGGACAAAACCTGTTTCTACAGTTCATGCTTCTCTGCATGTGTAAAATCTCCTTCACCATGTAATGCATGCATAAAATCCCAACTGGATTCAACAGAGGTGGTTCCATGGTCCTCTGAATCATTTATTGGACAAAGTTAATGGTCCATACAACTGCTGAAGCCTCCTTTGGCAGGAGGCAGTTTTGGTAGTTCCTAATTAATTAGTTTATACCAAGATCTTCCTATCCCAGGAAAACTATTGTGGTCTGTTTTACATCAGGATAACCTTTTCTTCACAGTAGAAAAAATAAATACTAGATTTACCATGAAGATCCTTTTTGTACAGTGGAGAATGGACCCTTGACTTTTCAGGGGGGGTTGTTAGTGGTTTAGTGGTGTTTTTCTCTCTTTAACATTGTCTTGGTATCTTCTTAGGATCTTCTTTGAGGTCTTTTTAGTTTGGTTTGTCATTTGCAACTAAGAGTGAGTTCTTTTTCCCACTTTGATGAGGACTGGTCATTCTAATCCTGCCTATCAAAGAAAGTGGGAGGACTAAACCCACAAAAAGAGATCCTCTTTTACTATAGAAAAGGGATCTTCATGGTAAACCTAATGGTCCACTCCAAAATATCTAGACCAGTGTTTCTCATCCTTGGGAACTTTAAGATGTGTGGACCAATTCCCAGAATTCTGGGAGCTGAAGTCCACACATCTTAAAGTTCCCGAGGTTGCAAAACACTGAACTAGACAGCACTTGGCAGGGGAAACCTACAGTGAGTAAAGTTTATGTCTTTCAGTTATGTGAATCATATGAGTAGCATTGGCTTCCACTCTTCCTAGGATCACTATCCCTGCTTTTCATTGTTGCTAGTTGTCCAATCTTTCTCCCTATGTACAAGCATTTTAGAGATTGGTACTTTTTCAGAAAGCAGGTCAGTTCAGGAAGCAGACAGACAAGAATATTGGCCTAGCAATATACAGGTCATCCTTGTTTAGCAATTACAATTGGGACTGGCTACTTGGTTGTTAAGTGAAGCAGTTGTTAAGTGAAACCATGACTGTGGTTACTATATTCCTTCAGCTTTCCTTTGCTTTACAGATGTGCAAAGGTTGTAAATGTGAGGATTGGTTGCAAAGTTACTTTTTCATCATTGTTGTAACTGTGAACAGTCACTGTATGAGGCAGTCACTAAACAAGAACTACCCATAAATGTACTTGAAATGTGAAAGTCAATAGGATTGGTCCAGTTAGACTGGAAACTAGCTGCAGTGTGAAAAATATCTTCCATGTAATGTGCAGTCTGAGCCTTTAGCTGAATTTTTAGGAGAAGGAAATATGTATGTGTTAAAACATGATACCATTATTCCAAATAAATATGGATTCCAGCAATACAATGTCCACTCACCACTTAATTTGTCCATTGAAGAGGATGTTACATATATAAATATCAAACTGCCTACATAGCATTTCCCCTTTCTTCCTGCTGTATACTTATGTTATTTCATCTTCTTTTTTTCTTGAAAAAAAAAATATTCCAGATCACTTTGATCACATAAAGAAAATTGCAGGTTCATTTTCAATAGGATTTGGCAGTGACTTTGATGGAGAAAACAGGTTAGTATGTTGGCACGGTATTATTTGGTGGTGTGCAAAACATTTCCATTTCAAACCATTTTGGGCTTGAAATGTAATTCCTATTCAAAACAGGCCATTTCAATCATTTGAGAAGTGTTTTGAACTCAAAATAATTGTGTTTTGGGCCTGAAATACTTCAAGCAACAATTGAAACAGCCCAGTTCAAAAACAAAACCATTCTTTTGAAAGGGGAAATGGAGCATTTCAAATTCAAAATGACTTACATTTGAACTTTTTTGCACCTTAGTATGTTTTTCACAAGTGCATGGTCTTGGGTTCCAGGTCTGTGGCTCCTGAAAGCCTTGAGGAGGTGTCTCAAACTGCCACTTTTAGCATGCCCAAAGAGATTTAATATTTTTAATTTGATAATTATGTGAACTGCATTTAACTGATACCCTTTTGATTAAAATTTAAGTGAAATTACATTTGAAAAGCCCACTGCTTTCTCCTGGTGCCACCCACGTTTGGAGGTTTTGCCCCATAGCCTGAAACTCCAAGGCCAAATGAAATCTTCAGTCCCCAAAAGAATGCAGATCCCCAGGGTCTCTTTGACTCTCTAGGCCAGTGTTTCTCAACCTT